TTTTTAAATTGAGATACGTTATTCATATTATCATAAACAATATAATTGACCCATTCACTGAGATTTTTGCCTTTCAAATGCATTCACATAACTAAATTGTAGTTTTTTTCTGACTGAAATATATAGTTATAATCCAGAATACTGATAATAGCAAAGCTACGAACCAACTAATGAAGAAAAAAGCCAAATGTTCACAGCTGTGCTGAATGCTATTTGCTAAAGAGCTTGGAATTTATCTTACTAGTAATAAGCATCCAACTGAAATATTTTAAACAGAAGTGTACAGATCTGTACTGTGTTTTATAAAGCAAGGCTGATGGTAGCATGAAGAAATAGCCAGATAAAAGCCAGCCAGAAAACTGCTGAAAAATAAACAAATGAGAATCATACATGAGAGCAACATGAATGAAAAGAAATAGGCAGTTTTAAGAGATAGAAAGAAAGTAGAATAGGCAGGTTTTCCTTCCCTATCCTTCTTGGATGCTGATAAAAGCCAGAAACAATTTCTGGTTGATTCTTACTTCCTAGCTAGAGTGATGTAGTTGTTGGGAGTGTATTTCTCTCAGACTGGGTGAGATGAATGAAGGGTTGTGGAGAGATATCAAAGAAATGTCAACCTTGTGAATAGAATGATGAATTTACCTTGAGATTACTTGAGTTTGGGGCCACTGAGGACATCCAAGTAGAAATGTCCAATAATCATAATGATATTTCCTCCACCTTTTACATTTTCTATCATGTCTTCCTATAATTAGGATTCCTGAGAGAAAGACTGGGGACATTAGAGTTGGATCAACTATGCCCAGTATAACTTTCCATGATGAAAATGTTCAATATTTTCACTGTCCTATAAAGTAGCCCTTAGACACGTTGGCTATTGAGCAGTTAGAATATAAAGGGTGCTACTGAAGAAGGAACTGAAATTTTAATTTTATTTAATTTTGGTTAATTTAAGTGTAAGCTTAAAGAACAACATGACTAGTCGCTACCATATTACACAGTGCAATTCTAGAGAAATTCATTTAAATTAATTTTACTCTGCTCAGTATTTGAAGGGATACTGTCAATTCAGCTTGGAAACATTAAAAAAGCACAAATTTAGAAACAATCAGTGAATTAATTGATGGGTTTCTGTTTCCGCAAGATGTGAACTGGTCATCAGAGGGTAAAGATCCAACTTGCTTACTCAATTCTCTATTCCCTGTTCATACTGCTTATATTTTGTGTGCGGCCACTATGGAAGACAGTGATGATGAAGTGACTAATTGGTGCCTTTTCATTCCAGCCAATGTTTGTGGACGTGAAGATGACTTCAGTAACTGCAAAGAGCTGAAGGCCTCGTATGGCTGTG